TATTTTAGGAGAATCAGATATACAATTTAATTGTCTATCAAATTGTATTATACCATTATTTTACCTATCTCTTCCAGTTTTCGTAGAAAATGCATTTTCTTATGTACCTGTCAATGTCAAATTGATTGGTCTCAATCTCTTTAGACTGTGGTACGGATAACTCATTGAACTAATGTCATTGAGTCATCCGTATCACAATAATGTAATACGAAATGATGTAATGATGTGAATGAAAGAATATAATATGAGAAACTCTCGTGAAATTCCTGTCAGTATACATGGTATAAACGTGCATTAGAAGTTTCTAGCGAAAATGCATATCTACATCGTAGATTTTTTGTATACCGGGTGTTGCATCGTCGGACGGAATATAGGAAATCCCATGTAAATTTTAATGGGGTCAATTATTGGCTTCCCTAATTATTTTAGAGAACAATTATATTTTAGGTTTATTGAAGAGCACTAAAATCCACATTGAAAAGAATAACTTTAGATATTTTTAATTAGTTCGTTTACGAGTTATCGCCGATTTCTTTTCAAATATTTCTCTTTTCTTATGGCCCTGTATTTACTTGTGAGCACCAGTCAAGATAAATGATAACTCTCAAATGAAGTTGTCATTTCAGAAAATTACCTATTTAGTGCTTTATTATTATCGAAAACTCATTCCTACATCGGAAATCTTAAAGATGTATTTATAAATACAAATTAACATGAATTAAAGTAAAATAAAGTAATCAACTACAAGGTTAATTATAGTATTATTACAATATTCAATAACTTATTAATTTAGGTACTATTAAATTGTTAGAACATTAGGATTTAAGAAGATGTTCAAATATTTCTCCATCGACTGCTAGACAATAACCCAGGCGATCATAAAATTCTCTTCTTACATTCGCTAGTTGGTAAACTGAAATTCTGTTGCATTCGGCAGAAATAGCATTTTTTAACTCGTCCAGATTTGGCTATTTTTTATTCTTGTATATTCTGTTTTTTAAATGGCCCCAGAGAAAGAAATCATTTGGCGAAATATCAGAAGACCTTGCTGGCCAATTTACTGTATGATTTAGGCCAATAACGTTTCCGTTAAAACTATTGTCTAAATATTCCTGAACAGCCAGGGTACTATGTGCCGGGCAGCCATCCATTTGGTACCAAACTTCCTGATTTTCCCTAGCCGCATCATGTAAAGCAGGTAAAATATGGTTTTCGAGTAGCTCCAAATAATATTCTGCATTTAAATTTCGCGTAAAAAATAATGGCCCGATAATATTGTGTCCGAATATCCCTGCCCAAACATTTACTTTCTGTGGATATTGCGTCCTTGTTTCGACAAACCTGTGTTGGTTTTCTTGGTTCCGATATCGACAATTTTGAACATTGGGTTCGTTATTTAAGGTAAACGTGCATTCGTCAGTGAAACATATGTTTTTTAAAAATTCCCTATCCGTGTTTGCTCTTTCCATCATATCAAAACAAAACGCCTGTCGCCGTATTTCGTCCCCATCTCGTAGCTCTTGGTGCTTTTCATATTTGAAGGAATAGTATTTATGTTGTTTCAAAATTCGAAATGCTGTAGTGTGATCTATTCCTATTTCATCCTCAAGTTTCCTTGTGCTGATCTTTCCATCGTTCTCTTCCACGCACAATAAAACTTCCAAGTCGGTATCATTTCTTGCTTGCATCTTCTCTTTGTTCCTGCCTTGCTTCACATCTGCAGTTATTTATTAGAGTACCTTTGGTCTCAAATCTCTGGATATTCCTTGCGATTGTAGATTTTCCAGGTATCGGTCTATTCAGATACAGAGCAGCAAACATGTCCGACACCTTTTGATAACTCTTTCCTTGATAATACCATTTAATCATCAATACTTTTTCTTCGGTAGTGTAATTCATGGCTAATATTTTCGATGTAGGTATGAGTTTTTAATAATAATAATAAAGCACTAAATAGATAAATTTCTGAAATGACAACTTCATTTGACAGTTATCTTTTACCTTGACTGGTGCTCATAAGTAAATACAGGGCCATAAGAAAGGAGAAATATTTAAAAAGAAATCGGCGATAACTCGTAAACGGGCTAATCAAAAATATCTAAAGTTATTCTTTTGAATGCGGGTTTTATTGCTCTTCAATAAACCTAAATAGAATTATTCTCTAAAATAATTAGGGAAGCCAATAATTGACCCCATTAAAATTTACATGGGGTTTCATATGTCCCGCTCGATGATGCAACACCCGGTATATGATTGTTTCACAACGAGATCTATCCATGAAAAATGTTTTCAAGATGGCGGCACTTGCGGAAATACCGGAAGTTGATAGCAACTTTCTTATATTAAATAGGTACCCCCATTTTATATTACATACTTAAATTCTCTCTAACATTTTATGAATTTTGATGTCAAACACTCTATACTTAACATTAACCGTTTTTGAGAAAAAAAAATATTTACAATTTTTAAGAAAAAACTGTCTGTCAAAAAAATTTTTATAGCCTAAACATCAAATTTAGCGATTTTGCGATTACCACAGCCACTGCATCATAAAGAGAAGACATAGGGCTCTCTATTTCAAAGATTCAATTGTTCTAATGTCATTTAACTTTGGTCGTAGCTGTCATGGAATTGCGCGATTAAAAATTTATCATAAATCATTTTTTCCAAATGGAAACCTACTTTTTTATTGTTCAACTCTCACTTTACTGTTAGGAATTACGAAGTTAGCCGCGTCAGATAGTAAGCACATAAAATAAAAATATCAGTACCGCAATTAGTGCAAGAGTTAATTTAAAAAAATTAAATGCAAAATTATAGTGAGTTATGTTCACTTGATTCAAATTTAATGATTTACTGATTATTTTTTAAAGAAGTTTTGATTGTTTTGAGAAGAACTTGTTACTAGAATTTTTCTATTATTTTAAGTTCAATTTAGTACACTTTCTTTAAAAAATTAACTTAGTACATTAATATTAAATATTTGAGCTCCATATCGTGCCAAGCAGCGATATAAAACAAAAGAAATTTTTAGTCCGGTCAATGTGGGCTTGGATGAAGAAAACAATTGAATTAAAAGACATACGTCAAGCAGCCGGATCTCGGTGTCTGTGGGTAAAAGTGAAAACTTGTAGAATAATGAGTAATTGTGACCGTTTTATGACTCCACGTTTTGTTTTATTGTTATTCGGTTGGACGCGACCAATGACGTACCAAATTGGAAATTGTGCGACTTCATAACAATGGTAATAATTTAAACGGTTTTACCGCTATCACAGATGTTGAGTGAGAGAGAAATAATTACAGGAAAAAGAAAATTTTTGACACTTCGAATATATATATATATATATATATATATATATATTGTTATGAATAGAATATGAAAACATTTATTTCATTCATTGAAAAAAGTCTAGGGGTTTCGACACTGGAAGAGAAATCTACAAAATAAAAACTTAGCAACTGTTAAAATTACTTATATCTATCAAAAATAGTAGATAAAATAGTACTTTAACCGCAAGGGTAGATTAAATGATACTTTAACAGCGAGGATAGGTTAAAAACTCTCTTTCTTCACGCACGTTTTTTAATTGCTTCCATTTTTTGAAAAATTTTGTATTCCTCTTCATAAGTTATTCGGGATTTAAATGGAAGTAGTTTGGATATGGCGTTTGTCGCCTCTGTATCCAGAATATCTGTTGGTAATTTACTTACTTCGTTTTAAGCCATTTCTGGTCAACGTTATGTGTCCGATACCCTGGATATACCTCGAACAACAGTCCAGGATGCCTGGAATCTCACAACATCTGCTACAAGCCGTGCGTAGAACGTAGAACTCAAGTCAGTGAGAGAACCCTCCATCGAAGACTAAAAAAACAGCTTTTCTGCAAGAGGCCTGCCACAGGACCCCAGCTACTTCCAAGATATCATCGACCATGTCTTCAGTTTGCGCGTTTAAATGTGAATTGAGATCGAGCAATGGACTAAAGCTTTTTTCGAGGCGCTTGCTTTAAAGCAGCGTATCTCCAATAGAACGTCAGAGATAATGTCGTGATTAAAAAAATAAAATGCTCACAAAAGATGAGGCTACGACGTGATTTGATTTAACAATAGCTACTACAGCTGCTGCACCCTACAGGGTGTTACAAATTTCGGGCAAAAAACTGCGTCTTTTGTTGTGCCCTGTATATGCTCAAAATAAATTCGGAATCAAAATTTCTGACGTAGCATTTGTTAAGAAGGAATTAATTTACAATTTAAAAAAAATCATCAAAATCTAAAGAGTGGTTCGTGAAAAATCCAACTTTGAAATTGGGACTAGTTTTTAGTGGCCGGTTTTTTTTTGCCGGTGAGTATAAAATAATAATAGTATTAAAGTTTTATTAAATGTTAAATATCTGGTTTTATACGAAACTCGATATTTAGTGGCAATAATAAAATTTGGAGGAATCCAAACTAAAAGAACTAAAAAACGTGGTACTAAACGTATTAAAGGCATTTTAATAAATTGTAAAAAAAATATAATATAATAATTAAAATATTTTGCTAAAATTAAATATATAGTTTTTATTTAATAGTTTTTTACAATTACTTGAAAAAAAAGTCTATTTACTGTGGTAAGCCAATAAACAAATATTACTTAACACCATTTCACGTTTTTTTCGTAGAAAGTTTTCTTCTATTACCTTCCTAATTACCTTATCTAACAAAAAAGAAATCGAATTTTTTACGTTTTAAATAAAAGTGAATATTCTCTTCAAAACCGCAAAGTTCAACGTCGAACACTTGTAATACAGGATCGAAAAAAATATAATTATCTCCGTAACTGCTTCACTTTCAATTCGACCGGTCTAAAATAACAAAAGCGTCGCTTCTTAGGCCGTGCATACGCCCATCCGAGTCGTCGACCATCCATCCGCCCGAGGGGGGACAATACCGCCTCTACCGCTATAAAACGATCTAGTGCAAGTGAATTCGTATCAGTTAAAAATAAGAAACTGTCAAAAAATGTTCGCCAAGTGCACCGTCGTCTTGTGCCTCGCGGTTTCGGCCACCTTTGCCAGGTCCACCGGGTCACCGGACCAAAATTCTATCGATGACAACGTCGCACCGCGCTCTGAGGACTCTTACTCGTACATGAACGACCTGAGGTACGTGTACAAAGTGTATCAACAATGTGCCGGTCAAGACATGTTCCCTTGTCTCAAGTTGAAGCTCGTTACCGCTTTGGACAGGGTCTCCAGGAGTGTAAACGTCGAGTTAATTGATGGAGTCACATTTGTGAAGGATCCCCAAGCACCTGAAACCACCGAACAACCAAAAACCGAAGCGGAGATTGAAGCTAACTTACCCAGATCCCTCAACGAAAAAGACGATGCCTTAAGCAACCTCATTTTCCAGAAAGTTGGATCATTTTTGGAATCTCACTCATTACAGGTATGTTTTATAAACTTTCCTACAATAATCCATAAAAATATTGTTTATTTCTTCTGTTATTTAGGTTAAACTTCCATCCTCTTCGGACATTGCTCGCAGCTTCTCCGGAGAAGAAGGTCGTGGAAAAAAGAACAAGAAAGGCAGCTCCATGATGCTTCTACCCTTGATTCTGGGTGGAACTTTAGTGCCTCTCGCCCTAGGTGCTTTGGCTCTGCTTGCAGGAAAGGCTCTGATTGTTTCAAAACTGGCTCTGGTGTTGGCTGGAATTATCGGTCTTAAGAAATTGCTTTCTGGTAGTCATGGACATCAAGAATCGGGACACGTTGAGGTCGTTTCATCTGGGCATGGTGGTGGATGGGGAAGGTCTTATGACAAAGAAGAAGCAGCAAGGTTAGCTTATCAAGCTTACGATCCAGAAGCCAAAAAAGAACGATAAGATTGTTTATTATTTAATTTAGTTAAGTTATTTATTTCTATTGTAAGATTTTTAACAGACTGTAAAATAAATGTGTAATTATTTTTATTTTTCTTCTTTTATTTTTCCCTAAGAGGTTAACAGAAATTATTTTTTTTTCATAGCAACTGTTAAAATTGCCTTATATCTATAAAAAAATAGTACTTTAACCGCAAGGGTAGATTAAATGATATTTTAACAGCGAGGATAGGTTAAAAACTTTATTTTTTCTCGCACGTTTTTTAATTGCTTCCATTTTTGAAAATTTTTGTATTCCTTTTCCTAAGTTATTCGGGATTTAAATGGAAGTAGTTTGGATATGGCGTTTGTCGCCTCAGCCTGAATATCTGTTGCTAATTTACTTGTTTCGTTTTGAGCCATTTCACACGAAAGAGAATTAAAAAAGACTGACGCAAAACTGACAACTAAAGAGGCAGCTTTATTTTTTTGTCGAATTACATAGAAACCAACGCCAACCCAGCACAATATTTTTTCTACTCGTAATAAATTCCTTGAAATAATAATTTCTGAATATTTTTTAAAACGTAACTCCCTATGGAAAAAAAATATTGTTTTATACACGATGATAAAATTGCATTATCGTCTCCCGAAATTCTTTTCGGTCGATGATAAAATACCATTAAAAAATAACTAATATCTACACTGAGATGCAAAAAAACGCAACGGAGAAATTTTTGGCCAAGTTTTTTTTTGTTATTTTTAGTCTTATTTTCATGAACTTTAATTCGTAAATTCAGTTTTTTATAAACTTTAGTATTTGGCATATTATACAGGGTTAATCGAAGGGTTGTTTTTTTACCCTAATTTTAAAACAGCCTGTGCAATAAATTCTTGAGTAAATTTTTCTTAAATAAAATTTTACTTAAGTTAATTTTTAATAGCGAAATAAAATTGCCACGGAAAGTTTTCCGTGTTTTCAATTATCATTTCATTTTGAAGTTATTTTTCAATATAACAAGGCGGCTTTGGTGATTATTGTGAACTATATACTACTATGAACTGTCCATCATGTTCGACGTTTGGGAAATGCTTGGCAGGAGGGCTAGAGGTCGAGAAGCGGTACTAGCTTCTTTAAATTAATTTTGCTTGGTCCTTAAAGAAGAATGGGAAAACATAACGCAATACGTCCGGCAATATAATATATGCAGCCTCAATGACAGTATGAACCGACCTATACAGGCAGGCTATATAGGTAAAAAAAAGCCTGTATAAACCAAACCAAATCAAGCCAAAGGAGGTAATACAAAGTATTAGGGTATTTTTTTTTTCTGTTTGTATACTTGAGCATTACAGATGTTTTCTTTAATATTATTATATCTGTTATCGTTATTAATGTTTATTAAAACCCAGGCAATATCGTTAGTCTTTAACGTTTTTTTTTTTAATTTAGTATAGACTAACCAATGCAGCTTATTATGATCTTACGACAATAGTCAGCAAAACCATCTCGTCATATTAAAAAATTACAACAAAAGTAATAATAATTAAAAAATACAAATTGATCGTGATCAGTTCATTTCGCTCTTAAAAATTAACCAAAGCATGTTTGACATTACTTTTAATGATCTACTTTTTAGGCAACACTTTTTATTTTTATTTTTTTATGATGTGGCTTTAAAAATACATACAACCCTAAATGTTCACCCTTCTACCATCAACCCCTATTTCTTAATAGAGATATTAGTAATTCAATGATTTTAAATTAGCATCAAATTGTTTTTAACGTGAGTATGAATGGGTATTGGGTATATTCTAAGTATAATGGTATCCAAATTCAACATACCATTTATTGACCCTTTGGGTATATACCGGGTGCAAAATCTTGGATATTTATCCAAATTTAAATATACTGGGTACTGCCCCAACTTTGGTCTGTACTAGAAAACATGGAAGTCCCTCAACACCTTATCCAGCTGATCCGAGGTCTGTACGAGAACAGCAGAGGAAAAGTAAGAACAAACAACACGATTTCAGATGCATTTGACTTGGAGGCGGGAGTGCGCCAGGAATGTATTTTATCTCCCTTATTCTTCAATATATATGGCGAATATATTATGAGAGAAGTTATGGAAGACTACAACGGCGGTATCACTATAGGCGGTAAACAAATAACGAATTTAAGGTACGCAGATGATACACTGATACTCGCATCTTCCGCTAATGAATTAAAATCCATTATGCGCAAATTAGAGGTGGTCAGATAGACATATGGGTTAAAACTAAATAAAAGAAAAACAAAATTAATGATTATCGATCGAGAACCCACGAATACAACAGAAATAGCAGGTTTCGAAGTTGTAGATCAATACATATATCTCGGCTCATTGATATCAAACAAAGGAGGATGTGACGCAGAAATCAAGAGAAGACTGTGTATAGCACGTAATTCCATGACCAAACTCAACAAAACATGGAAAGATTCAGCCATTTCAATTAGCAACAAACTCAGACTACTAAGAGCCCTAATTTTCCCCATTGCCACTTATACCTCAGAGACCTAGACATTGAAGTTGACAATGAAACGTAAAATCCATGCTTTTGAAATGTGGTGTTTTAGACGAATGCTGCGAATACCGTACACAGCTCACCTTATAAATATTTCAATACTAGAACAACTGAATATCGAATCTAGACTGTCGATATCAATAAATCAGTTATACTTAAGATACTTTGGCCACATATCCAGGAACAACAATGACCTAGAAAAACTAATTGTGGAGGGAAAAGTGACCGGGAAATGTCCTAGAGGGAGATCTCCAAACCGTTGAGTGGACCAAATGAAGACAATAATAGGTCATAGTCTGCACGAGGCCAGTACTGCTGCGCAAGACAGAACAACATGGAGAAACACAATAAATGCAATATCATAATGTCACCATACTCTTATAGAGTAATAGGAATGCATTTTTTATTTCATGTTTTGAAAGAACTCGGCCTTCTGAGCACAATGATATGCCACACTTTGTTATTTCAAACCACATTTTTTTTTCTTTCGGTCATTTGTACATAATTTATTTAACTAATTCCGCAAATCCGTAAGTCCGGCTCTGTTTTTGTTTATTTAATCTATTCATCGCTACAATATTGATAAGCTTTCAAAGTTAACAATGACGTGAGGTAAAACAATGAATACGGAAATTCAAATGCAATAAAAATATAATATAAATAATCCAATAATTTCCGCGAAAAATTGATTGGAAATGGTAGAGCAGTATAATGGCCAGCAGGGTTCCTGGACCTATCGCCAAGGGGCGGGGGGTCAATACTTGACGTCATTTATAAAAGTGAAATCAATACATTTCAATATTTGCAATAAAGAGTGCAAAATGCATTCGGAAGTATAAAAAGAAGATATGTTTAAAGAGCTGTAAATAAGATTGAGCAAAAAATAAATTTGTGCATCAGGGAGGGCGGAAACCCTTTCGAGCATGTGTATAGCATTAGAAACTAGTTTAGCATTAGAAATTAGTTTTTACAAATTATTAGATCGTATAATGAGATTTAAATTCACATTAAAAAAGCTTATCTTTAGAAAAATCAATATAAAAAATAATATCTTTAAATTGCTGACCTGGATATAATTTATGTGAATCTTTCAATTGGCTCGATTTTCCTAATTCAATGTTAATGAATTGATGCGCTGATCAATATTGTTGCGATGAATAAAATTAGATTAAATAATTTAAAAAATCAGAGTCGGACTTGAAATTATTTTAAATAATAATTAAATAGGTTTGTTATCGTTAAGGTACCCAAAACAAAAAAAAAAGTATCAAGTGTGATACATCATTGTACTCAGGAGACCGAGGTCTTTCAAAACCTGAAATAAAAAATGCAGGTCCGTGTTTAAAAAAATTAAGTTGCCTTTGTATCTCACAATCTATCATCTATCAGATAGCCCTAATAAAGTGGCTATGAGAATGTGCAATTAGTTTTTTGATTTTCTAAAAAGTAACGGAAGGAAAAAGTAAAATTGATTTTCAAAAAAACCGTTTGTTCCAAATAACTCAGCAATCATTTTTAAAACTTTTTTGATGGTACCTTGGTGAACCTCCCAAGGCGCAACTTTGCCCCAATTTAACCATCTTTGTATCTATTACGGGTTCCGAGGTAGTAATGCTCGAATTTGTAGCACCCTGTATATAGAAAAACTGAAATTTTATTTTTAACTATAACTCAGAAAAAGTTTCATCGTTCTACATCTACCATGTCACCACATAATTTTATGAAAGGAAAAATTCGAATCTATCGCTGCATTTTACTTCGAACCGCTTCATCGAACTGTCAACCTTGTATTAAAACCATCGTATATATGTGTTTAGCAAACATACATGTAGATTATAATGAAGACGTATTTGAACTAGTTCTTCAACCCGACCAGGATACATATATCGGAATGGAAAAACTTTCCCAAACGAAACCACAGATTTAAACTAATATTTACAATGGGAATTCGTCACGTAACCATGACCGCGGCTCGCGATCAATGTCACGGACGATAAACCTATCCGTTCCGGTTTAGATTCCGGTCTGGCGATTCCCCGGAATCGGTAAGACGCTATAAGAAGCAAAAAGAACGAAATTCTGATGATCGGAGAATAAGAAAATGATGCGTTAAGTTATCTAAATCGAGCCAGACGACGGAAGAAAGTAAAATTGTGAGCTGCTACGTAACATTGCTTAACAGAAACGACTTTCTCCTTAATTCATACCTTTTAATGGACCTTATATTTTATCACTTGCGTCTGGGTCTCGAACGAAATCGAGAGTGTTTAGAACGGTCGTGATATAAACTTTCTATTCGGTTGATAACAGTTTCATCTTGTTACTTAAGCTGGTGTAATAATATTTGCAAATCGGGAAAGAAATACAAAAATAGGGTAGGTTTTTGTGTGATAGATAATGAATAATTATGAAATGAAATACATTGTTTGATTACCACTGTCTGTTATCATACTTTTGAAATTCTAAATCAGATGGAGTTATTAGGATCGAGAAAAAGATCTGGAAAAAGAAAGCTTCTATCGCTTCTTTAAATAATGTGATAG